CACTATCCAGTCTACCGCCCGCAACCAGGAATATCATTGGCGATTGTAGGCAGCCTTGTCTTACTCCTGTCCTCACTTCGAAGGATTCCGTGAGTTTCCCATTGTGGATTTCTTGGCATGCAGTATTGTCGTACAACTGTTGAATGAGATGTATAATTGTCGGTGGCATCCCGTAGTAACGAAGTAGTTGCCAAATCACCTCTCGATCGACGGTGTCTGTTGAAGGCCTTTTCAAAGTCGATGAAGTTGAGATAGAGAGGTGACTGCCATTCCAAGCTTTGTTCAATGATGATCCGTAGTGTGGCGATTCGATCAATGCATGACTTGTTTCTTCTGAATCCAGCTTGTTGCGGTCGAAGTTTTCATCCAGGTTGGCTTGTTTCATTCTCTCCAGGATGATGCGGCTTAGTATTTTGCTCGGGATGGACAGGAGCATAATTCCGCACCAGTTCTTGCATTGACTTACTTTTACTAACAGAACTATTACTATTTATTTTTACATTTTCCAACATACATCCTAATTAATTTATCAGGGTAATTATTAAGTTTCAAAGCCTCACTTCCTGTTTCCGATTATCCTTGTTACTACTTAGTATTTGTACCCTATTACGTAAACATTTTACCAATCCTATTTTTACTGACATAGGATGGGATGATCAGAAATCCAAATGTTGGTTTGAATGTGTGGGTTTTCTGAAAACACTAGTATGTTTTAACTCCCTGTCTTCTTTCCTTTTTATGCCACACTCTAACACTGGAAGCTAGCCATCCTGACTTTCCAATTCATAAGTGAGTTGAATTGCCTCCACCTCCGAGTTGATGTGTTCGAAAAATCTATTTATATCCTGTGTTCTAAGTACAGTGAATGTGTCATCTGCATACCTCCACCATACTTTTGGAGTGGGGGCTGAACGTTTCAATCGCTATGTTTTCCCACCTATCCATAAATATATCTGCCACTATAGGAGATATTGGTGACCTCATGGCAACTTCCCCTGTTTGTTTGTATATTTTCCCTGGAATTTAAATACTGTCGAAGCTAGGCATAATTGAACTCCCAACATTGTCTTCTAGTAGCACGTTTGTTCTAATATAACAGGGTGGAGGGAGAGACTGATAAAGGAGGCCTTATTTATCGAATAAACTGAAGAGAGTACGTGTAATAGAAATGATTCAACACCTGTCCATCCGGATATGTTGAAAATTCCTTCTACAACCCCTACAACGAATAGGTAGGAATAAAAAAACTATAAAATGAAAGTTTCGAATTGTGTGTAGTTATAATTGATGATATGATTATGAACAGTAATGAATTGTGTTTGAAAGGCGTCGTCATTGAGTAAACAATAATACTGCTTTACTGTGTGATATATCCATCTAATAAACAAATTAACATGGAATTACATACTCCCAATTTCTTCTCATATACTAATTTGTACTTTTCTGAAGAGTGGTCACTTGAACTGCTACACTTCTACTTCGAGAAAATTCACTACTCAGTAAATACCATCAATTATGTGTGGTAAATTAAGTTGAAATTTTAAAAAAATATCCCACACAAACCTGCTTAAATGAACACAGGATATCATTAATCTATAGATTGCAATCGTCTGAATGAAAGGGTTATAAATACATGTATTTATGCATGTATCTGTGTATTGATGAGTACGGAGATATAGATTTTATTGATCACACTTTCCTTTATTTTACAATCGAAGTATTATCGATTATATATATATATATATATATATATATATATATATATATATACGTGATAATGAATTAATCACTCAATCAAATTAAAATTACTTAATCCATTACTGTCATATGACTGTCTCTGTTTTTTTTGTGTGTGTGTCAATTTTCTCTGTTTATTTTCATTATTCAATTAATTGATTGGAACCGACTGAAAATGTTGCGTAATCGATCAATTGTTATCCGAATTCAAATAAGAACTGATACTAGTTATTATAGTGGTAACAATCACGTTATTTTAATTAAAAAGTGTCATATAGGCCTCCTTTTTCTGAAGTAGTACATTTATCTTTACAGTACAGTGCTATTGGTATTTCCCTCCCAATTGTGACCTTGGAACCCTATTGGTTATTGACTATTCTAACTTGTCAGTGTAGTTAGTGTCTCTCAAGGCCATTTAAAGCATGTATAGATACGCTATTGCTGTGAAACGTTTTCGCTGTTTATTTAAGGCAGTAAAAGCCTGCTAGGTTAACTATCTATCTTCTCTTCTTGTCTTTTTTACGCCGCGGGTTCGGTGGTATCGTTGTTGCTGCTAATATTGATTGGAACCGTAGACTTGCAAATCTATTAGGTAGGAAGTTGGTTAGTGCAAACTACCAAATGTATTAACGTTCATACCAGAGAGAGAAATTTTCTGATTTGACACACTCTCAGTCAAATTGGCAATGTGTCCACCATGCCACTAGGTGGCTCGCCGCCATCACGATGCATTAAGAATTGTAGGCATTAAATGGTTGGAGGGGATCGGTAGGAAACGTTGCACCTAGTTTTCGTACTTGTTCGCATTCACCAGTCAACAAGGTGTATCTGCAGTCTCATCTCCCTCCCAAGAATCGAAGCCGTGTCACCCAGTGCAGCGCTAGATGCATGATATTAGATAATAACTAGTGTTCAATCAAAAATATCCAATCCAGTCCTACAAGGGGTCAATCGCGAGTCCGATTAGCCCAGTGAAAACGTCTCTGATTGTCTGCAGCACTGGGTGACGTGGTTCGAATTTCGAAGGCCGGGAGGGACATGGGTTCCTTCAGGGTTTCAGATACGTCTTCCTGACTGACTGGTGATTGCCAACTAGTCTGAAACCTAAGTAAGGTGCGGCTTCCTGCCGATCCCCTCCAACCATCTAATACCAACAATTCAGAGTGAAATTTTCACTATTTTGATGTTAATACAAATTCATGAATTTATAGTCTCTACTGAAGGCCGGTCAGAGTTGTAGTAGTGGCTGGACTTGCTTCTTTTGCACATAAAGCACTGGTTGTTTCACTTGAATTGCGATAGCCTCTGCTGTTTGGAGCATGCGGTGCTTCGATGTTTTTGACAATTCATTTGGCACCTGGTCGGTTGGACCAGATGGTCTGATATGGAACTGTTGATGGTTTTTACTACACCTTTACTTAGCCATATTGGGAGATGTTCTCGAGCGCGAAAAATCAAGCAACGGCCGATATAACTCGCTCCACTACAAGCTCAGTTGAATTGGTAGATACAATGAGAAGTGGCTTGTTTGTCTAGGTACTTCATCTTTCAGTCGAGGTAGCACCATCGGTCATGTAGAGATTAATACGTGTAGTTTGCCAGTATTAAAATTTCTTTGAACTGATTTTCTTAATTTCTTCGTAATTAACTCACTTGGTATATCGCCCATGAATTGCAGTCGTATATAAAGAGGCTTCTTGTTTACAGATAGTGGATAGTCCTTTTCGGCTTTCTTTGTCATGTGTTTCTTGATAAATTTGTCGGGATAGCTATTTTCAGTCAATCAAGGTATCATATAAAATGCTTGAGCCATCTTCAATTACTTCTTCTGAGCATATAGCTCTAACTCTGTGGCTGAGGGTCTTTACTAAATTTCTTTTGTATTGGAGGGGAACGAAGCTATGAAGCTATGTGTATATTGTCCTGTCCATGTGCTTTTTCTATGCAAATTTTTTTTATGCTACTATCTGGTTTTATTGTAGGGAGGACATCCAGGAAGGCAATTCTATCTGGAGATTCCTATTCGCACGTGAATTTCATAGCAGAATGCTCACAACAACAAGTCAACTCGTTTTTACAAATAGAAATCAAACGGAATAACCGTGACATCTATAGATTTCGCTAAGGTTCACAACTCGCATATATATATGTATGCGAGTTGAGAACCTCTCTGATTGATCCAAATGGAAAAGGGTCTTTCGGTTGCACAACATTCATGCAAGCGACCAGTAATCTTAGTTTGTTTCTCATTCCTTACGTTCCGAGTAGATAATAGTTAAGTTTGTTTTAGTAGAAAACAAAATGGGGTTGTCTGTTTAATGGGATGAGGCTTCTAGACTTCACGCCCGGTTAGTTTACTAACCGGGGAATGGGGGAAGATTCTGTAGGTTTAAAGGCCCGGTGGACCCAATTAAAAAAAATAATATAATTTACGAAATGCCTTGCAATGACTGTGAGGTCAACTATGTAGGTGAAACTAGTAGATCGGGGTGTAATCAGATTGTCGGAACATAAGAATTTATTGGCTAATGTAAGAATGGTTAACCCTGAGAAGATAAATAATTTAGAAAAAAGCTCAGCAGTTGCACTACATGCCTTAACACAAAACCACACAATAGGGTGGGAGAGGGTTAAGATTCTGAGTAATCTATGTAGGTGGAGAGAGACAGTGGTTGATTACTGAATCTTTGTTCATCGAGTCTACACTCAACACAACACATACAACAGAAATGACTCAATGCAAATACCAGAAATATGGAAGATATTATTACCACCAGTCAGTCAAATCAGAGGAGGATAATAAATCATCTCAAAATTCTATTTCAATTCAAGCACATCAAAACATCCTAACAAGTTACTCATTTTAATTATAAAAACACTCGTCTTATTTCCCATTTGAGTGTACTGGATTGGTAACACTAATATTTTTATTCATATGTCTAATTACCAATCCCACACATGTATGTAAATGAAGGTAAAAGTTGTGTGAGCAGTGCCTTGATATGATTATGAGTGGTGATGATTTGTGCTCAAAACGTGGTCATCAGTTAATATTACTGTACAACGAACACTGTGTGATTTATCAAAATAAAATCTTATCCATAATGGAGTTATACTCTACCTCCACAGTGCCCAAGTTTTATACTTATATGAATAACCGAACGAGACTTAGGAAGTAGTACATCGTCTCGGAATTGAACCCGCACTTTCCGATGCACTGTATAATTAATCTCAGCTATTCTCTTTTTTGTTCCTTTATTTAGCTTGCAATTTTGTGTTTTTCCGTTGTTGTCGCTGTTGTTGTAGATTCATATTTCACCAAATGGAAAACTTATTTGGTGTCTTGTCCCACCGCGTAACACATCCACCAATAACAGCCAGCATAATAATCCTGCGAACACTATCAGTCAAAGTTGCAAAGGTTTCCATGTTGATGTCTGTCTTGAATCGAATGGTATACTTGGTCTTTTAAAAGCATGGAATTCTAATGATATCGGTCGATGGGAATCTAGTGTGCTATTGGAGATAACAAGTATTGCTTTGAGTAATACATATGCTGTTTTCAGTACATCGTCGGGTCATTTAAAGGTTAGTTAGTTTTATTTATATTTATTATGAGTGTTGGTTTTACTTGAATTCCCCCGCCTTTTTCGTATATCAGCAAAAAGACAACCATCTTTTCGGCGATTTCATGCTCCAGAGCAGCTGTACGTTAGCATTTATATACATCATAAGTGTACATAGATAGAATTATAACTTAATTTCACTGTCATATACAACTAGTTTTGCCTAAAACAATTTTAAGGGTTATCGCTTGAGCCCTTTGTTTTTCCCTCGCTGTGGGTTGCTGGATTCCTATTGGCTGACAATACTTTCAATGCATCACTGAATTACTTTATTTTCAAGGTCATGTATATACGTAATTTCTATCTAGTATTTTGACTGTTGTTTGAGACAGTAAGAGCTCTCTTATCGACGTCCAGTCTTTTCCTTTGTTGGCGAAGTTCAACAATAGCGTCTCAGGAGTGCGAACGCCTTACTGACCTTGAAAGCATGCTATTCGTTGGATAACGGTACCTGTCATTATCATGGCTGAAATATCAACGCTATTAACCAGGTTAGCAGCAAATTTTACCCAGATCACGTTTTTAAGTACTGTTTCAACAATGTGTTAGTGTTAGAACAAGACATATGAGCGAACAATATTGTTTTTAATTAGATCTTCAGGCTTTACTCTAATTTACATGGATTTATATATAAAAATTTTAACCAATGACGGTGATTTTACAGATCAAATAATAATAGTGATAATAATAATGTGGTAAATGTTTTGAACTTAGTTAATAACGATGATTATAAAGATAACAAAGTATTGATAATAAGGTTTATGCAGGTGGCGATAAGAATAACAAAGGTAGTAATATATGTGTGTATGTAGTCAATTCAATAAATAAATTAGGTCAAATTTTAAAAGTTACGTAATACTAAAGGTGAAGTGGACAGATAATGAGAGTTTAAATAAATATCATAAAAGTACGAAGGAAATGGAAAATAAAAAAGGGTTGGAGGGTTTTGAATAGAATTCAACTAGACCAAGGGAGAGACAAAGGTAGAACAAACTTCTTTTGTGTGCAAAGACTAGGATTGTTCTCTCGAATTAATTCCCATAGCTTCAGCTATGTGTAAAAGACGGGTTCGAATTCCGTTCGAAAGGCTCGATGGAATGCGATAGATACATAACTTTGAAGGCACCATTTTTGTCCACTTGGTGACCGCTATCAATCAAATGAGCCAAAATGGAACTTCTTATAGATTTTTCATGCAACCGGTTCCCTTTATTAGTTTGAAGAGAGAAAGAATAAACATGTTTGCAGGATAATACGAGCTCGTTTTATTTCGTGGATTCTCATCAACTGCATACATCCTAAACAAAATCAAATTATAGGTTTCAAGAAAGTTGTGGAACATACTTTTTCATAAATACTTTGAGTTATAGATAGAAGGCATAAGGAACATAATTGCAGAATTTGATGTAGGTAGACAGGTTATTCGGTGTCAAAAAACAACTAATTATATATAGTGGAATTAGATAAGAGGGGTAAGAGTTCAGATTTCTATTGGAAAACAACACAGATTGGTTAGAGGCATATTACAGGGTCAGGGTCAGAGAACAAAGTAAATTTACACATCTTGTGGTGGAGAGTTTAAGAGGGTGGGGGTGAATAGTGAAGTAATCAGTTGTTTTTTGACACCGAATAACCTGTCTACCTACATCAAATTCTGCAATTATGTTCCTTATGCCTTCTATCTATAACTCAAAGTGTTTATGAAAAAGTATGTTCCACAACTTTCTTGAAACCTATAATTTGATTTTGCTTAGGATGTATGCAGTTGATGAGAATCCACGAAATAAAACGAGCTCGTATTATCCTGCAAACATGTTTATTCTTTCTCTCTTCAAATCTTATAGATTTTATTTGACCTTTACTGAATGTGTTAATCGCTCGTTAAGGTGTTAGGATCAGGGTTAGAAATACGGTTTGGATAAGGATTATAATTAGGTTTAGGATTAAGGTTAGGGTTGTGATTAGGGACAGATTTATAGTTGATGTCATTTATTTTAATTTGTTTTATTATCCACATTTTCCTGGTAAGTAGTCGTCGATCCTCTTACTGAAAACCATAGTAATTCAACCGAGGGCTTTGGAGAGGACTGCACAACAGGATAAGAGAGATGAACGATTCACAAAAATGGCTCATCTTCAGTCACCTCGCTGAAAATACATCTACAGAAACTAGTCTAACTTAGCAACTGATACTCCTCATTATAACTGGGTCGTATTTTGAAGTCATGTCACAGAAAGATAACCTGTTTAGTGTGTTTTCATGCATTTTCTTGTAAATATACGTCATTTTTTGTGCAAAAGTCACTTACTTTTGTGATTGGTTGGCTGAAGGTCACTCGTATGTTCGCATCCCTTGGGACGCCTATTGTTGAACTTTGCCCTCTAATAGTCTACTAGGTCGGAGTTCGGGTCATAAAAGGTCACATAATAACTTAGGGGATTAAAGTTGGCAATTATTTTCAACTTAATATGAAAGTTTGAAGGTGTGAATATGTAGATTACAAGGGACTTAGAAACAAAGTTAAGCAGGATTAGTTGCGTTAAATGTAAAGTACAGTTGTAGACAAAAACGAAGGAGTTCAGTAGAACTAGATCTATGTTAGACGTAGAGATTGAACTAGTTGCTCTAGAACACATAGTTCCGGGGATTCAGTGCATATGGAGAGGGCTTCTGCAGTTAAAACACACTGTTTTTGGTGGGTTTCTGCTTACTTTGTAAGTGACTCTGAATGATGAGTCAGTTGAGAGATGCTGTGACAGGTGTTGATGTGGTTGCCGACTGTAGCGCTTCTGTTTGAACCAGTGCCTCCTCTTTGCAGCCATGCTGGGTAATTGTTATATCTGCACCGCTAATTGTTACAACGATATTGGACTCAACTTGTACGCTGATACGCCTATTTGTCCGTTGTACCTTCCGATTCACCGAGCCATGCAAATATCAAAAGACAAAGGTTGGCGCCTGTGACTGTAAGATACTGTTTGTTTATTAGGAAACAAAACATTTTCTTTACCACAATAAAGTCGGCTCACATCCGTAGGAATGGATTGTTCTTAATGACTGGCAATAGCTATTCTGATTGGTTGGGTGATCCGAAAAAGGCCATGGTGAGACAAAAGATGATGAATTGATCACACAATGATTCACAATATGCATGAGAAATGATTGGTTAATATGGTAACTCCAACACAAGATTTGTGAGAAATAATGATATACTATTTTATCCTGGTTCCTATTACATTAATGTTCTCTAACACATTTTGAGTCATTTACAAAGTAAACAAAAAATCTACCGAAGGTAGTGTACCTCCAGCTTCTTTGTACAGCAGGAAGCCCTCATCATATGCATTGAAAAGTCGGAACTATGTGTTATTCAAAAGAAACTAGTACAACGTCAATATTTAATGCCACTGATCTAGTTCTGTGTGACACCTTAGTTTTTATTTGTGTTTTTCTTTCATTCCCTTCATTGTTTTTTTTCACTTTTAGTTGTGAAAAAAAGGATTACTTCAATTTGTTTCCGTGCTCATCCCAGTGACACCCGTATTCATTGAAAACTATCTTGTACCTCTGTTTAAGTTTGTTTCTAATCCTCCTGTTATCTACACTCACACCTTCAAACTTTCATATCAAATTGAAAATGATTGCAAACTTCGAATATTCGGCATGCGACTTGCTCCTGTCCAATGCAAGATGACAAGGGTACAGGAGTTTACTGGACTACATCGACTCACTCTTAGCTTAAAGACAAAGGGAAGTGGGGTGGTAGAATGTGTTAACCACTTCACTAATTATTTAAGAAGTTGAATCGGCATGCCTCAGCGGGTTGATCGCTAGCGAAAAATTAGCACGGATATAGGAGGCCCGTTAGGCATTTCTTAACCAACCTACGCCATCTTTCACTTAGTAAAGATGATATCCGGGTGACTGGCTGGCTGGCTAGCTATCTACCAAAGAACGTGTGTACTGCTCAGCAGTCGCTTTGCTCCGTCCTCCTTTATGGCTGACTAAGAGTGAGACATGGCCCCATTGAAACTGGAAGACATGAAAAGCTGGCTAGCTTGCTGTCTTTCATCATAGGTGTATGTTTGTGTTCTTTCTTCCGTGTGTGTGTCAGGTGTTAAGTAGTGGTGGTATAATAGCCTGACTAATATTCAGGAGGTTAGGCTTCAGTCGAGTGCTAGGTGATTAGGATGCCCGGCGCTCTTCACCGGGTTGACTGTCCATTGGATGACAGTCTAGGGGATATGGCTAAACCCTGATTCCAAACCTCCAACGACTGGCGTATGAAGCTCACTGGAGCTCGCTGGCAGACGTATGGACAAAGGGCTTGTTGGATGTCTGGCCATTCAAAAAGGCGTATGAACCGAACTCCGGTCACCGGCTGCCAATGGATAGTGGACTCCCTACTCCACTCCTACTGCCTTGTAGGTCACACTTGGTTGTGTAAAGGCTAGAGCGGCACTCTCAAACAAAAGGCCGAGCGATTCTGGGGACATCACTCGTACCAAATTCCCATGAAACTTCATGAACTCTCTTACAAACGATTCGAGATGTTCATGAAGCCGGCTCATCCTCCCGTAGGAGATAGCCGAAGTAAAGTAAAGTAAGTAGGTGATTAGGAGGGAAAATCAATTGACGAGGTTGTGAAGTTACATGTGTTACGCATGCGTGGCCTAGTCTAGTCATCGCCTTCCTTGGAAACGGTCAATGTTAGCTGACTGCAATCGAATGAATCAGGTTGGAAAAGAGTTAGCTAATGAAGGTCAGACGAAAACATGACAGCAGTTAATGAAATCCAGTTACGTTTATATAGTCCGCTTCATCCAATACTTGCTACTCTCAAGAGTTAGTTTACAGAAATTCAGTTGTTTTTAAGTTGAACCACTTTGTGTCGATAGTTCACTCAGTGGTGGAACGCTGGCTGATGCACTCCTTAACCTCTCTTGTTCGGCCATAAGTAAACCCTGTAAAGAGGGAAGGTTGAGCGTGTGAGGCTGACAACCTCATCGCCACTAGAACTTTGAAGTTCTAACTTGAAGCTCTATGTCCCACTGGGAACGCGAAGGGATGAAATGAAAATCTGTAAAAAAAACATGAAATCACAAAGTGACATCAATTAGAGAACCATTAAAAACTAGGGCGTACTGTCACATCTGCTTTATCCTAGTTTGAACCTCATAGACCTAACTTACGTCAGTTCATGATCTAATTTGAAGTACTTAGTAGTCGACCTCTGTTAGAAACTCTTTAACATTCAGGTTTTCCCACATGGAAGAATATTTTTTATTTCTATGGAGAAAATCTAATATAAAGATGTAAATATTACTAGTGGAAAGGAATAATGTTTCAATCAAATAGTGTAGATGTTTCCTACTTTATTTTGTATTTATCAATAGTCTACTTATTGTTTTATCAGTAGTTAGTGGTATTTCTAGTAAAAATGGTCTCACTGTTCATTTTCAGTAGTATGATGCATTTTTTGTTTCCATTCCTGCGGTCTCAGTGGAATATCGAGTCTCAGGCTTTGGAGTTTCATTATTATTTGTGATGTCGTCTCCTTTTACAAGGTGGAGTTTTAAGCCTAACATGCAACGTTTCCCCTCGGTTAGAAGGTTTAGAAGGCAGTGGGCAGGTGCGGTACCCTAATATCTATTGGGGTCTACCGACGCACACAGTACGCATTAGTTTTGCATTTATTTTCACGCTTTTACTCGATTCCCTAGTGTTGTAGTATACTTTAATATGTTTAATTATTGCTCATTGTGCTTTTTTGCTTTACTATTTTGTGATTGATACAGATTCAAGTTGGCCTATCTGCTAAAAGGCCTTACAATCAATCCTATACATGGCCATGTCCTGGATATTATATTGTACAGGTGGCGACTTGTTCTGCTGGTCTGGTATGGTGTTTAGCTATTAGACAATCAGATGGTGATGATGATGGGAATGACACAACATTTGATTGCGACAGATTTGTAAGTTTCAAGTTGTTCAACTTAAATTTCCTAGTGTTTTGTCGAAAGTCGATGATTGCCGCGAAATTTGAAATTAAAATCATAAATATTCAATCCCCCCAGAGATATCATAATCATTTCAATCTATAACCTATCTGGAAGAGGTTTACTTTACGAATCATCCGAATTTAATTATTTTATTATTCAGGATTTCATCATGAAATAAGATTGGTTAAAGGACCATTGGAAAACCTGTGAGTGCCAGATAGCTGTTTCGTCCTGGTTTGGTACTCTTCAGCCATATACAAACTGGGGTTTGAACCCAAGACGATCTACTTACAAGGTGAGTGGGCCCGTATACCATTAAACCACTGCGACCCGATCCAATGGTCCATGAATTTGAACTTCTGCTAATTCCTGATATAGCGCGACCACCAACGAATTTCATCTCTGGCGAGTATTTGTTCTCACACCCAACCTGCTGTACCCCTCATTGATTACGAACATAAATGTTACGTAGTGAATTTTCGGTATTTTACAGTGAGTGGTGATGACTGATGAGAATGTTTTGCAAAACATTGAATGTTGGTTCGCCATATTACTCAAGACAACTCTGAGACGATTTCAGTAATTTGAATATTATCAATTACACATTAAGAAAACAAAAACAAAATGAGCGAAGAAATATATTCCTTTCCAATTAACAGTTCATCATCATTGGTTGTCTATACACTAATGTACGGTTTTTACATCAAAATTTTACCAAACGAGAGGTTATTTTAATCCATCAGTTGTAGGCATAGGTATATATATATATATATATATATATATATATATATATATAAAGAAGACAAACTTTGGAAATGTGTGATTGAATTGGTACGATTATGAGCAGTATAATTAATGCTTATAACGTCATCCACTTCTTAATACTACATTGCTGTGTGATTTTTTAAAAATAAATTAATCTAATATGGAATTACATTCTACCACAGCGCCGAAGGCCTACACCAAATAGTGTTTCTTTGATCTATAGAAATCTGCATCACAGCGCACTTGATGCCAATCATCTCTATTGGCCATAATCTGATGATCAGTTCTTGTGGTAAACAGTGATTTGATTAGTGTTGGTTAGAAGTAGAATCAATGAGCGTCTCCCATCCCCCCCATTTGCGACTCATCAGTTATATATACTGGCATGTGTATAGGGTGGTGTTCAAATTTAAACTTGAATCCAACATCTCTTTTGCTTTTAAATTCAAAGCCGCCATTGACATCTATGGTGTGTGCAATCTATATATATACGCTGATTGATAGCGACTCGCTAACATTGAAAACAACATTTTATGTGACAGTGGCTACAGATGTAGGAGGGAGCGTTTACTTCTCGCATCCAGATCTAGCTTACGTTGTGATCAGGACATAATCTCGAGATTTAACCTACAGTCAAACTACCAATCGGAACAACTTATTATCCGCTGACCCTTGAAAACCATAAATGTGGCTAAAAAATGTATAAATATGGTGTAATTTTCCCTAAAACAACCAAATTAGTAGAAAGCCTTACCAAGGTCTCTTCGGCAAACTTGAAGAGAATTGAACTATTTCATCTACTGATAATTTAGAAAGATCTTGCGACATCCGCCTCATGACCCGTATCAAGGGGATGCCTGGTAATGGCACTATCGAAATCGTTTGTTCTTTTGAGACACAGACTTTTTGGTACATGTTTAGAAAATTAGAGGTGTGCCCTTCTTTTTTTGTTCTCCCAATGTAACTGCCCCCTCAAATAAATGTAGATTTGTATACACAATTAGACTTGATATGAGAAGGGGGGTATCTGTCGACTTTTGATTGCACACCAAAGGACATGTCCCGTAAACGGATTCAAAACGGGCTTTATTCAAAATTATTAGACGTGTGTATATATAACCCTCCTTTTTTATATGCACAATATGACCAAACTAATATCAATCCTTATTTTTCTAAAAAAAAATAAAATCCCCTTCCTTAGGTTATACTAAGTTCCAGTCTGCCGAGCTCTCTAATTGAATATCAATCATCAAAATCAATTTCCACTACTACTACTACAACTGTAACAGACCAATTAAAACGCCTAACATGGTCAACAACTTTTAAACTACCGTCATTATTGATTCGATCATTAGCTGAACAGTTCACTTCAACTGGAAGTTTACCTGCATTGAATGATGATCTAGCCGCATTGATTAATTGTGAACTTCAAATTGTATTAATTGATCAGAAAATGAAATCAATAGTTAAAAATCAAGAAATGCTAGGAAGAAGTCGAATGGCGGATTACATAACAGCTTGGATTCTAATTGCGTATTATACACCAGAAGAAAGTGATGCGTATAATATTTATTCGGTCAATGGTTATGTCCAGGGTATAATTAGTAGTAAATCTGACGGTGATGATTGTGATAATAATGAATTCGAATCGATTTCCGATTGGAATCAGGTTTGTGATTTTTTTAAATAGTTTTCTTTATTTTGTCGGCTTTCTTTTTCTCTCTCTCTAGTATGGATTTATTCTCTGAGTTGGTCAGTTTTTATTTGCGAAGCTTTCATTGTCCTCTTATAAACAACATTGATTGGTGCGTCTTGGTTATATCAGAATGTCTGTTCAATGGAAATTGATTTCGGTAGTGGGATTGTGAGAATTATTGATATAAGTATGGAACGCATTCTGCTAATAGATATTTAGACTTTAAATCGTCTCATCCGTTATCTGTATGTAAAGGCAGGCTTAGTTAAGTGTCTAACAAACCGAGCAGTAGCACTTAGTAGTAGAAGGAAAGACCTAAATGATGGAATAAAACAGATAGAAGAAGCGTTGGTGTTAAATAACTATCCTATAAAATTCATTAGGAAGATCGAAAAAAGCCAAAAACAAAATAAAAATAATTGTGTAACTAGTAATGATAACATAAATAAGAGAGAATATAAGGCGTCTACTGTTATACCATATAAGGAGAGGACATCTGAGACCCTACGTAGGATTCTCAAAAAAGCAGGAATTAGGATGGCATTCAAACCTACAAACTCACTCAGGGACAAGCTCTGTAGGCTAAAAGACCCGGTGACCCAATTAAACAAAATAATATAATTTACAAGATACACTGCAATGACTGTGAGTGAGGTCAACGACATAGGTCAAACTAGTAAATCGCGGGTAGTCAGATTATCAGAACATAAGAATTTATTGGCTAAGGTAAGAATGGTTGACCCCGAGAAGATGAGTAATTTCGAAAATGCTCGGCAATTGCACTACATGCATTAACACACAACCTCACAATAGGTTGGTGGGAGAGGGTTAAGATTCTAAGAAATAATCTATGTAGGTGTAGAGAGAAATTGATTACTGAATCCTTGTTCATTGAATCTACACCCAACACGTGCAACAGAAATGACTCAATGCAAATACCAGAAATGTGCATGGAAGATATTATTACCACCAGTCAGTAAAACCAGAGGAGGATAATAAATAATCTCAAAATTCTATTTCAGTTCAAGCACATCACAACATTCTAACACGTTACTTATTAGGACTATGAAAACACTCGTCTTATTCCTCATCTGATTGTAATTGATCAATAACACTCATATTATTATTTCTGAATGTACATTATCCTATATTGATTGTTATTTCAATATCTAATCGATTCCACACATGTATATAAATGAAGTAAAAAGTTGTGTGAGTGAGTGACTTGATATGATTATGAGTGGCAATAGTTTGTGCTCGAAGCGTACACTGTACAGCACTGTGCGATTTATGAAAATAAAATCTTATCCACAAAGGTTTGTGAGAATTCTTTGATATTCTTTGCGTCCCGTCTTCTGAAGATCTTGTTTCATATGTCCTCGGTTGAATTAGTGTCTTCAGGTGTTCTTTTGTATCCAGATGAATGAAAGCATGTCGTGTCTTTTTTGATATATCACCAATCCCCATCAAGAGGAGAAATTTGAAAGAGGTTACTTTCTACTCTTATCTGGCTTGGAAGCATCGTTCCAAATATAGGTGAACGATACGAATGAAAATGTCGAGACCAGCCATAATTGGAAAGACAAAGTACACCTTTAGCACTCGGGAGTCAGTGTGGAGATCTTCTGCACTCCGCCTCAGCATAAAGAACAAATTTAGGATTTTTAACACAAATGCGAAGTCAGTCAGTCAGTGAGTCACTTCTTCTATATGGGTCAGAAACTTGACCGGTAAGGGAATCACGGAAAGCATTTCCAACGGGCTACTCTGTAGACTTTTGTCAACAACTGCCCCCTACTCTGACTCCATATTGAAGGTCGAATGACTGGCTGGCCAGAAAGAATTAGCAGCGAACAAGAAACTCTGGCCATGAACGAACCAACAGGCGAGAACCGACTTCTCAACAAATAGTGAGAAGGAAATGGAGATTGACTGGGCACATGTCACTCAGATGACTGTTGGGTGACATCTCAATCAATGCAGGCCATTGTTCGATTAAAAGGTGAGTGGGGAAAGAGTGATGAGTTGGGTGTTAGTCCAAGGGTGACATAGAGGAGATCAGAGATTATAGGCAATTGTGGGTTCAGTCGAATAGAACCGTAGAGAATTGCAAACAGTGGAAATGTGCTGGTGAAGCCGTATTTTCCACTCAGCGGAACCCAAGGGAACAGTAATAATAATATATATGTAATATGATTGAGGTTCCTTGAATAAATCAAGAAGTGGGAAATAATGTTATTATTTATTATTATTATTGCCTCCTTTAGTTCCTAGAGGAATATAGGGCTTCAGTCACACGTCTTCATTGCGTTCGGTTCCCTTCGCCAACGTTTTCACCTGGCTCCACGTCTGCCTACATGCTTTCATCTCCTCTTCACATGACCTTCTCCACTCCATGTCACCCTTGCACTGACGACCAACTAACTCGCTGTTTCCCAATCAGGTTCCACTCCAGTGATGGCCTGGCGTATGGTCACTTGATGGTTTTCTCAGTGTATGGCCAATCTACCTCCATTTTTTTCCTGCATATTTGTTGCACAGTTTAGGAAAGCAATGTTGTTAGCAACGTAAGCCTAAGGTACATATATTATACCATGTATGAAGATACTCTGAGTAAAGGGAGTATTGAGTACATATGCTCTACTATGGGTTTAAGTATCTTAAAGATTCTAAAGTAAAATTGAATGAAAAATGGTTGTGGAATTTCATTCGACCATTTTTCAGCAGATTTATTTAGTAGACTCTCATCGGTTGGAGTAAATCTTGCCTTGTGTTAACATGAATTAATATACAGTGAATCCAGAAAGTGCATTTCGTCCTATTGGGAAGTGACTCGATGACTTGATCTATCTTCAAACATTGTGAGTGAGTGAGTGATAAATGATTTTCCCTCTTAGACACAATCCTACCCAGCACCATCCATCCTTTCAAATGTCCAGGCGTCATCCACTGAGCCATGAAAAAGATAGAGGTAGAGTCACCACTTGTGCAATGGATATCCCAGTTTTTTTCCTTGTTCAAGTTAATTCATATTTCCCGCTGATTGATTTCTGATATTGCATCGAAATATGCTCGACCTGTGTTTCGACATATCGGCGGTGGCTCCCTACCACGGACAATTCGGCGATGTCTCAACATTAGTATGAGGTTTTTCAAGTGTTGGTTTGGAGGGATTTGATTGGTTTCAGGATTTCATCATGAGATGACATTAGTTAGAGAACTATTGGGAAACCTGGGAGTACTGGACAGCTTTTTCGTCAGTCTAGTTTGGGACTCTTCATCAGTACGCGCCCAACGGGATTCGAACCTAGGACCTTCTGGTTACATTAGTATGAGGTTATTTAGCTGATCGTGGGTCTAGTGGTGGTAGATATCATCGATGGTATCTGTGCTCTCTAGGAGTCTTCATTTCAACACAGACTACGTATTTCCTTCCGTCTTATATGATGTCAATTAGGAATACAAATTAACTTGAGCAAATCAAATTGGTGGATGTTGACCAGTATGCACATTTCATCTTATTCCCCAGTGTGTGATGGGGAATGCGCGTGCATCAGCTGAAGAGTCCCAATTAGGACAAATCCTCATCCTGAATTCCATCCACTGCTAGTCACCATCCACCAATTTACTTCAAGTTAAATAATAATGAGGCATCTGCAAGCGATGCCGACACGTCAGTCTAGGGTCAGGGACTTTAGTTTAATCAATCAACAGGGAAGTCCATACCGAATTTAATCATTATGAAATATTCGCATGTTAATTATTATTCTTTTCTCAATAGTGCATTTCTGTCACGATCTAATTCTCATTCTAAATATACATTACTGTGATATTTCATTACTTTGTACGGTGTTTAAATTTCTTTCTACTATTTACTTATGCTACTCATAATTAGTAAGTAGTATACTACTATATGTTTTAAAATATTTTGTTCTGTTTCATCTAGTTCACTGTCGGTGAAATTAATGCTACTACTAATGCTGCTAACACACCAAACATGAGTAGGAGCTATTTCGGTGACTTCTTTACAAGACGAACCACATCTAAACAGAAAGGTATGTCTGTTGAATGTTAGCGATTACTTTTATACATTCTTTTTCAGTAAAAATATCGTGAGATCTCATCAGGAGACGAGTAGTATATATATGGTTGTATTTTTGAGATTACTTCAGGCTATAATGTAATGCATGTTTCAGCAATATATATATATATATATATATATATATATATATGTATATATATATAATATGATATAGATTGACAATAGAGGTCAAGGGTTATTGTCAGTTCTGTTTTGTTCAATGGTGAAATGTACCGACAGAGAGATAGAGTAATAGCAATGGGCTCTCCACTTGGTCTGTTGCTCACCGATTACTTTACGGCGCGTACCTCGAGGCAAATATCCTCCTACCAACACAAAATTCACACAATTTTAAGTTTACAAGTGGCATACGGATGATATATTTATCACTATCAATGAAAATATTCACCTGAATAGAGTCTTTCAAATATTCAGCAACTCTCATCAGTCAGTCAAATTTAAAATTGAAATAGAGTCAAAAGGTAAATTGTCCTTCCTAAATTTCCACCTCAGAAGACGATCAGATGGAAGTCTATAAAGATCAATTTACCACAAACCAAACTGAAGTGGACAGCTGACAAACTATCAGAGTTTTGTCCCAATGAGTAAGAAAAGAAATTTTGTCGCTTCTCTTAGGATGAGAATCAATTGTATATGCAGTTAAAACGCATTGAATAAAGAAATGGAATCCTCCAGAAAAACTCTAATCAAAAATGGATATCCGACTCACCTCGTCGATACATTTAAAGATAAAGAAGTATACTCCTTGATACCTGTCTATGCCAAAGGGAAAACTAACTGAAAATCTGGAGCTCAATGGAGATACAATTAGTGAGGTCCTCCGAAGCCGCCTATCAAGACCAATTCGTAGGACGTTCTTTGTACTTCATCTCTACATTTCACATACTCTACACTTGTTCTTATTCACCAAAACATCATAGACAATATCCCACTGATGGCAAATTCAGTGTGTATTAATCAACTCACCTGTTTATGTAGAGCTAAGTACAAAGGCCATATCAGCGGGATATTCATTATCGCGACATGCCTATGAACATAGAACAGTCGACTGCTCAATTCTGGTGCATATTATTACTTCTGGTCAAGCAGCATCAGCTGTGTATTAGGGATTTCATTTATCGTTACTCAATTAACTTCATATAAACATATACGATCAGTGAAGCCAAACTGTTTACCATTTTCAAAAAGCTGAGTAAATAGTCTGATCTTCGAATCAGAATCTGTACAACTGATGCATCCTTTCCCATGTGTCCTTTGCCATTCTTTCTTTTTTGTTCAAACTCATACTACTTAGCATTAGTAAGTAGTATGAATTATACTTGTCACTTCTTGGCTACTTGGTTTCATGGCCAAGTTAAATTTTAATCACCATTGACTACCAATCAGCGAACGACCTGGAATGGTCCAATGAGGTTCATGCACATGAGTTCAAGGTTGTATAACTCTTGATTCGTATCAAATGCGTGCTCTGACAAACTTACGCTTGCAGTTCGAGGAGGATAAGGTTTTGGACTATTGCCTGGATTTAGGGTTGCTTAGGAAGCAGAGGATTTGTTCATGTGGTGGTGTGATGAGTTTAAAAAGGTTTAGCAAGTCGACTGATGTATATGTTCATCGTTGTGCAGTTTGCTTGAGACGAGTTAGTATTAGGGAAGTTAAGCTGATAATTTTCATATTTCGTAGAAACAGTTTTTCCTAGGTCGCGTCTTTCCCTAACCCAGATTTTGTATATTTTTAACTACTGGGTTTTAAAACAGCCTGTGAGAAGCGCAGCTGCTGAAGCCGAGAATAGCCTCGTGTCAACAGTTCAGTGGTACCAGCACTGCAGAGGCATCGCCTCATGGAAATTGGAGAGATATACTTCGATGTTGGGTGGAGAAGGTATTGTCGTGCACGTGTACGAAACTGTGCTACTGAAGAAAAAATACAATCGTGGTCGTCAGCGAGCCAACAGTGTTTGGGTAATTGGTTTATATAACACCTCCCTTGTGAAACAGGGGTCCATAGTACATACTGATGAATGGAAAGGTTATAACTCGCTGTCATCTCTTGGATATATTCATCACAGAGTTGACCATTCCAGTGATTTTGTGGATCCCATTACAGGGGCAAGCACAAATTCTGTAGAAGGATTTTGGGGAAGATTGAAAAATAGTATTAGGTCTATAAAGGGATCTCATTTATAGTCATTTACATGAATATATGTACAGAATGTGGTGTGACTTTTCTGTTGACCCTCCTATGCTAAACCGGGAGATGTTTCTGTCACATGTTAGAGAAAAATACTCTATGTAACAATTTTATGCAATTTTTATGCTTTTTTTCCATAATTATACGTTTTCCTTAGTCAAAAATCCCTTTTTCATGTGATTGGTTCGTTAAAGGTCGTTCGCTGATTGGTAGTTAGTGGTGCTTAAAGTTTAACTTTGCCTGTTTCATCAATTCGGCACTCTTCAACAGTATGCACCCACTGATAGGGTTCTAACCCAGCAGCTTGTCGTTAAAAGGCTAGCTCATAGACCATTGAGGAGCCACTGGGACCCAACCCAATTGCCCATGATGCCCACTAGCGACTACTGACCTTACTCAGGTAGGTGGTTACTCTGGTTCTGGTGAGAAGTCGTGACCAGCAGGTTGTCGAGCTATGTTATCGTTGATTTCAAGATTTATCATATCACCTTGAACTGTACATTGTGTTCAGAACGTCATTTATTTATTAAATACTGAGTCAAAATAAACTTATCTAATGTTGAAATTAATATCCTTATCTCATAATTTGCACTTATTTATATACCAATTTTATTGATTACTTCCAGATTTTGTTCCATATCCCGTTCCACTTATTCGATATACTCATTCAATTGTCAATAACAAAGAATCTGATAAAGATGCTGAGCATAAAACTACTCTTCATCTTCCCATTGATGATATTTTCTCTAATCATCGTGTGATATGTGATCAACCATTCCGACTTGCCCTACAACGTCCTTGGAATAAGAATACAATAATTATGCAACCAATTAAACCCACTTCGCATTTATTCACATATTATTGGAAACATTATCATCATTATGTTTTGCCAGAAATTGAAAATATCAATAATATATTTATTGTTCAGACGTTTGTTAATTCAGATGACAATAATAATAATGGTAGTAGTAATAGTAATGCTTTTATCAAGTGTTTATGGATACCTAGTAATGATGATTCACTTAATAAAGGAGTAAGTTTGTGTTATTTATTTACTCATTTGAATTTCCCTCCTTATTTTATTTGAATCATTGAAACAAAATTCAATTTTAAACTACCTGTCTCGTTCAATAAGTATTATATATACACCTCAATTGTTTAGTTTGTTTATAATGTGATGAATAATGTTATACTTTGTAGAAATCTGAAGACTGTCATTAGGGCGAATGGTGTGTACCATTGGGCGCCATATTGTTGACATCGTCATTGAGGATAGCCACTTAATTTAATGCAGTAAATTTGCTGAAGAGATTTTGTGGGACAGTGTACATCTACTTTACACTCAGCTTTCATCTTGTTGCATCTCTTCAAGCAGAACAAAGAAGTCGTTTTAAAAGACTTTACGCGCGTACACCTCTAGGTATAAAAGTTCCATTATACTATATTTGGTGGCATGTGTTTTATGTGATGAAAATAGTGTCAGTCACAAAGTAACTTACTAACTAACTAACCTTCTTTCCACTAGTAAATTAACAATCTACTCTATCCTTATACTGACACGGTTTACTGTCATTATTCCTTTTATATTTAAAGTCCTCTCATTTTTTTCATAATTGTGAACACCATTTAATCTCTGTAATAATTATGTTTTTGGTTTTCCCCTTACCATGCAATGTCAAGAGAACATTGGATTCAATATTCTATAATATGCTGAGATTTCCACACTGTATCGACGACACTGTTATTATTACGGTTAATACACATGATGCTTGTAGCATAGGGGGGGGATTGTAATAGAAACTAGATCTAACACAAAATACTTTGGTATAGTTCTATCCTCTGAATTTACTTGCTCATCCCATATTTTATCTGTCTCCAAGAAAATGTTCCGTCTAACCTACTAGCTACATTAAGAAGTTAAAACATTCTGGAATCACTCAACCTCTGTTTTTACAATTTGTCAACTCGTGTATTTTACCTATTGTACTTTACTGTTCCCCCTTTGTCTTTCCTTGGCTACTCAAAAAGAACTATGTCATACTGCGAAGGGTATTGAAGGTTGTCAGTGAGGCAGGGGGTGTGCCACTTAGCCAGCTTGTTACTACATTGGTTGATAGACATTTAAACTCATGCGTCAAAATCTAATATTGTCTGACCCTCAACACCCCGTCTATTCTCAACTCTCCTCTTGTATCGTATCTGGTAGAAATAGAAGTCATTATAAAAGATAATATGCTCGTTGGCATAACCAACTATAAAAACTCAACAATACCCTAGTTGGCTCGCTCGTGTTCCATGCGATGGTGTTAAAAGGAAGAAGACTTATGACTTATTGTGTAGTGAGTATAAAAGTGGGCTCAGTAATTCTCTCTTATTTGTAATTTCACGGTGACACCACCCCGATTATCTTATTATTTTGTGTTATTTATACTAATACTATTATTATTATTATTACTATCATTTCACATTTGTACATTTTGCTTGCCCCTACTGTTTCTGCTAGTGCTAAAAGTGTTGATGTTATCAATTTCGGATAAGTGTACCCTGTAATGTTAATATTCTGTTGTTGTTGTTATTGTTGTTGTTCAGTAAATTAGATGCCATATTGTACAAAACGCTGAAAATTACACTCTGTGTCATAACTACTGTTTTGGAATAAAGCAAATCATTATTAGTGTTTTTATTACTATTATTAACTTAAGCTCACCCTACCACTACTACCACTATATCAGCCTAAATGACTTTCAGCTTTTGTTTTTCATTCAATTTTTTATCGAAGTTACTTGTTTGCCAGTTTTCTAGCGGTAGAATCCAGGCTGTTTATTTTTGTCCTATTTTCTACTCGTCAGCTGAATGCATATGTTCCCCTATTGAGAGTGGGTGAATGTATTTCTATTGAGTCTTGAACCCATCCCCTTCGCCTCTCTTCAAACGCCAATGTGGTTCCCATTAGTTTACTGAGTCATCATTTACTGAAGTACAAGTACCTGAAGATGATTAGTCCTGTGGGAGACGCAATGTGCTTCCTAAATCCCGCTATCATCCATTACTAAGTTGCATTTACCTCAAAGTAGGTATTCGTAACCATGGTAATTATAGAGGCATCTGTCCAAAGGAACCCATGCGATTAAATGACACCAATCAATCTAATCCATGTATATTAAATTCACTTAATACCTATCCATTCATTTTCCCCTATAGATTAAATGTTATGCAGAGACACAAGTGAAATCAGTTATTGATTTAATGATACCGTATCCGAATGAAATTAATGATCAACCCGAAAAGTTAACAGTTAGTACCATGTGTCTATTGGCGAGTGAATTATCAACTACTGATGGTGTCACACAGCTTTTCATTGCATTCACCAATAGTTTATTTATGAGTCGTATTGGTATATCAGATCAAAATCCGATTGGAACGCAATGGGTAATTTTAAGTTGTCCAGGTGAGACATATGTATAACTGGTTGATTAACCTTTTGTTTCATAAAAGTTATACTACTTAATTTTAGTAAGTAGTTCAAGGTGAATGAAAACAAATAGCAGCAAGTGTTGGTTCTGTGTGTGAATCTGTTATTTCAAAGTAGATTTTATCGAAAAGCGAAATCAATGAAAACTATAGTTAGTTGGACGTAGTCTACTTAAAACCTGCATTTCTTATTGTTTTAATCGTGTAATTATGTCAGACGACGTCTACATGAATTCGCGTACATATTTAAATTAGCTCCCAACAAAATGCTGTGCAACTCTTAAACGTTACGTCACATAGTATACCTTAGATTATAACTTAACGTGTAAATCTTGTATGAAGAGGAAACATTTTGGAACTGAATACGTTGGGAATTCCTGTTCTATATGTCCATATATTGTTTGAAATTAAGCTTTATTATAATTATTACTATTACTATAGATTCTGCTGATGACTGCAGACCCTCGATCACATCCTCATCTCGTAGTAATTTGGATATCACAACTTCTAGTAACTTTCTGAAGCACCTTAGAATAAGGTCTCCAATGTCTTTATCGATTGCACATTTTGAAATAAATAAGTCCACAAAATATTAGTGAATTGATCGGCCTGTTGGAGAATGTGATAACAAGGATACTAATATAAAAAGTAATAATTCAGCCGTTTCATTCGTGTTTTGGTGTTAGCCATTAATGGAGTTCAAGAAGCATCTTATTCAAAACTCATCAGCTGAATGTACGTGAATCTCTATGAACATTGATGTTGCTTTAATATCAGTAAAAAGTTTGAGCATTGTGGATTAGATCAAATAAAGTATAATTATATCTCAATAGTTTACACACAATGATGAGTTTTGTTATTGGTAATATTTCGAGCAAAATTACTACCCGTGTTCACACCACTGTTGGAATTGTTTTATTCACACATTTATGATTTGTACTCATATATTTAGTTCATTATTTTTGCTCATTCATGTTTCTTTTTTTGTATTTGAGTTATATTCCACGTTCATTCATGTGTTTGCATTCAGAATTATATTCCAAGTTGTTGATAGTTGTACTGAGTCACCCTTGTTACATGTATCCGGTATGACTTTAATGAATATCGATTCTGTTATAAGTCTTTCTTTCCATTTGTTCATGTTAGTTTTTAGAATACACACATTGTCCCAATCGATATTGTGGTTATTTTCCCATGCATGTGCAGCTATCGATGAATTTTTTTCAAGATTTTTGTAGGCTTGTGTTCCTGTTGGTTGACCTTTGGTTAGGCGTTTATGTTCATTCACTCTTATTTTGAGTGATCTGGACGTTTGCCTCACATATTTAGTTGGACAGTCAGCACAAGATATTTTGTAAATCAAGTTGTTTTTATCCATCATTTTTATGGGGTGTTTCAGTTGATTTATTTTATTTTTGATTAGATTTGTCGGTTTGAAAGTTGTGTGAATGCCGATATTTTTGAGGTTTCTTTGAATTGCCTCTGATATACCATTTTTATATGCTATTGTGACTGTCTTTTTGCATTCTTCCATCTTGTTACTCTCCGGTTTTACCCTCTTTTTTATGTTATCTTTTATAAATTCTTTTGGGTAGTTATTTTTGAGTAGCATTTTGAATAGGACGTTTATTTCTTTACATTGGTCCTCTGGCGTTGTTGTAAGTCTACGTATTCTATCTGCAAGACCTTGTATCAATCCTCGTTTTACCGTGAGTGGATGAGCTGAGTGATAATCAAGGAATCTTCCAGAGTGTGTGGTTTTTCTATATAGCGTTGTTTTAATGCTACCATCTGTTATTATTTGTATTTTGCAGTCTAACATAGGCAGTTCCCCAATTTGATGTTGCTCTTTAGCTATTGGGAGACAAGTAATCGTCTTTTGAAACTTCAGGAGTTTTTGTCGATTATCTGTTTAGTTCACAGCACATTTATTATTTATGGGTCTTTATTAGTAAGAAAGGTATCTGTCAAGGAACTTAACCCTGAGTTCCTATTATTTGCGAACACGCTCCGAATCGATAATTACTACGATGAATTGTCGACTTTAATTACAAAACACCAGTATTTGTAGTAACTTATATTGTTTGGCAATTAAAGTCGAAAATGATACAGAAGTCTATAAACAAATGTCTTATAAGTAATGCACCAGTACTTTTATTCATATTCTTTCGTCTTCTTCCAACTTGTACACAATTGAATCATTCGCGCCTTCGAGTCGCCCGCTAGTGGCTACCAAGGTCAATGAACCAATGTTCAATGTTCACATTCCTTTTACATTGTCTCTGACCCAACATATTTATCCAATAGACAACACTGGGATATTTAAAATGATCGATATCAGTGTGGTGTGTACTACTGACAAGATTTATCAGTAGTATATAAAGAGACGTTCACTAGTACAAATAAATATGAAATGACGGAGATATAAATTTTACATCAAACATTACAGCAGTGGCAGTGCATGAGAGACACGCAAAGAAGGCAAAGAAATGCAATGCAACAAAATATGAAGGTCAGAAGAGTAACACAACACGGAAGATCTGTGCGAATGATGTCAATGGACGCGAACATTGAACGTTTGTTTATTGGAACTGGTAGCCATTGGCGGGCAACTCGAAGGCGCGAATGAATCAATCGTGTAAAAGTTGGAAGAAGACAAAGGATGGGAATAAAAGTATATTATATTCATCTATAAAACATTTGTTTATAGACTTGAAACTACCTTGATTTTAATTGCCAAAAACAATATAACCTTCTAACAAGTACTGGTGTTTTGGAGTTAAAGCCGAGAAACGTACATAGTGATTATCGGTTTGGAGTGTCTTCGCAAATAATAGGAACAAATGATGATTCCAATATAAGCTGCTATGCGCATAATTTCCCTGTATGTCTATGTCGAAATGCTAATAAACATTCGGTTATCAAGTCTTTTGTCTTCTATCCTTACACTAAATTCGAAATTCAATAGCAAATTCATGTCCCTGTGGATCATTACGAAATACGTAAATATGTAGATAAGAATCACAGAGATATATCTGAGACTATCTGTCATTCAATAATATTTCTTAATACATTCCATATTAGTTTGTTTATTAGATGTACCACACAGTGAAACAGTATTATTATTTACTGGATGACAAGGTTTCGAACACAATTTATTGTTCATAATCATTTCATCAATTATGATCACACGACTTTGAAACTTGAGTTTTACAGTTTTCTTTGTCCTCTCCTATTTGTCGTTCTACGGGTAGTAGAATTTCCCAGATATCTGGGTGGATAGGTGTTGAATCATTCCTATTACACTTATTCTCCTCAGTTGATTCGATAAACAAAGCTTCTGTTATCAATCTCTCCCTCCACCCTGTGACATTAGATTTTGAAACTGTCATCTTATCCCACCCATCCTATTGTACGGTTGTGTGTAATTGCATGTAGTGCAGTGCTATAGCTGAACTATTCTCTAGATTTCTCATTTTATTCGAGTCAACTAATCTAGATTTCGCTGCTAGGTTTTTATGTTTGGCTAGTCTGACTGCACCTGTTCTACTACTCCGACAACCATTCAAGCAGGGTATTAGGTAAACTGAATTGCTTTGTTTTAAAGGCTCCACAGGATTAATTCTTTTAACCGACAAAGCTTGTTTCTAATTGCGTTTGTGGGTAGTTTGAATGCCAACCACTTTTATTCCTGCCTTGGTAAAAATTCTGCGTAAGGTGGTTTCCGAGGTTCCTTCCTTGTATGGAATTACTACTGATGATTTAGATTCCATATTGTTGGTGTTGTCTTGCACACATTTGACTTACATGTCCTCATTAATATTACTATTATTATCCTTACTGTTAATACCACTATCACTACTATCAATATTTATTTTATTTTTAGTTTTACATTTCCCTACATATTTTCTGACTAATTTATCGGGGTAATTATTAAGTTTCAAGGCTCCTCTTATATGTATCACTTGTTGTCTTAGATTTTCCTTGTTACTACTTAGTTTTTGTGCTCTGTCACTTAAACATTTCACCAATCCTGTTTTCGCTAACATAGGGTGGGATGATCGGAAGTCCGAATATCTGTTTGAATGTGTGGGTTTCCTGTAAACACACACTAGTGTTTAACTTCCCATCTAATAAACAAACTCATATGGAATTACTTACTACCACAGTGTACAAGTTTTACGCATATATTCTTAATACATTATTGTATATTCTGAGCTCTATTCTTCTTCTTCTTTCTGTTCTGCTTCTTCAGATATTTGGAAGACTGAAGAAGTTAGCGCAAGTTCAACAACAGTAATGCCGAATTATTTTACATCAATATGTTGTATTAAAATGAAATTATGGGCTACAGATAATAATGGTCGATTGTTTACAGCTAAATTACTCATGAACAATATTAACCATAGTAGTAATAATAATAATAGTGGTCATTCGTATTGGGAAACATTAACGTGGACTTTGGATCCTGCATGTAAGCGATATGTATATTCTTTTTGATTTCATTTTGTCAGTTTGTTTTTATAATAAACATTTATTTCCGCGGTGTGAATCGATCAAGAGGTGATATCAGTTAGAGAACCACTGGGAAACTTGAGAGTACTAGACAGCTGCTTCGTCAGCCTAGTTTGGGACTCTTCGGCAGTACGGTACCCACCATGTTTTGAATCCGTGGCCTTTTGGTCAAGAGAAACGCTCGTAGACCACTCAGCCACTGGGCCCTGACCTAATAACCAGTCAGTCCATGAATTCCAACTTCTGCCAATTCGTGATATGTATGTTAAGCGTAACCGCCATCCTGTCCTGTCTTCTTGTCTGACGTGGTGGTTCGACCCCGCTGGTTGGTTACGATTTCTCACTTGAATCCCAGGCAACTTTCTGTTTAGGACCAGTCGCTAGCGTGCATCCGATTCATTATCCGGTGTTGGCTTGTTGGGATTTGATTGGTTACCTGGGGTTCTAGTGAAAAGTTGTAACCAAGGTGGGTTTATCAGGTTAGGCAAGAGGATGGCTACTTGCCTGTGACACTGGCTGAATATATATATATATATATACATATATTTATAATTTCCTTGCGTTCCGATTGAAACATCACATCTCCACTTTCTTCTGTCTTCTGCCGTCGTCTTCAGCTGGATCCACGATTGACCAAACTCTCTCATCTCTTCCTCGCCACAGGATCTCGTCCATGTCACCCTCGCACTGACGACCCACTCATCGCTTCCTATTTGGATTCCACTCGAGGGCCTGTCGAGCGATGTCATTCGGCCGTCAGCTCAATATATGCCCGATCCATCACCACTTTCTTCTACATATTTATTGAGCGATCGGCTCTTGCTTAGTTGGTTTGTTCCCATAGTTTCTTGTTGCTTATTCTTTCTGTCCATTTGATCTTCAGTAGGGAACCAGCGAAGGCAGCTGTTGATGAAATTCTGCAACTGGCTGCTGGAAATCCTGTTCTTGACACGCAGTGCAAGTTTATGACCCGTATAGAAGAATCGACTTCATATTGGTGTTGAAAATCCGAATCTTGTCCCCAATGCTGAGTGCAGAAGATTTTCAAACAGGTTTCAGGTTGATGAAGGCGTATCTTGCCTTTCTGATTCTGACTTTGACATCTTCGTCCGCTCCGTGTGCCTGTAGTTGAAACGGTGCTTCCTAGCCAGATAAGTGAAGGAGGTAACCTCTGTTAAATCTCTCCCTCCTGTTGATGGTGATTGGTGCTGGTTATTGTTGCTGTCGGTTAGGTGTATCGTCATCACCACCTGTGTTTCTTCTCTGTGCTCACTTGAAGTTTTGTTTTCCCTGCTTCCTTTTCTAACTTGTGCTATTAACATCTAAAAAACCACGTTGATAGCCAATAAAGCACAACCAAGAGACAGGTGGTTGGAGACAATTAGCAGAAAACTAACTGTTGACCTGGATTTCTTGGTTATTTGCACTCGCTAGAATGCTGAATCCCCAACCTTTTGGGGGAACTGATGCATCAGCTGAGCATTGACCCCACATGGCCATATGCTGACACAGTTGGAGATGTTGCTACTGTGGTATTAGAAAATCCGATCATCCATGGTGTGTCTTCAAAATTGATCGACCATATGGTGAATTTACGAATAGAATCCGGTATACCAAGACTTGGGGACACCAGGCAAATGACACTAGCTATATCCCAGTAACCGACCAATCAATTTATCTCAATATTTATTTCATTATTTAGATCGTTGAATCATGTCCTTATTCATCATTAGACTAGTGGTTTTGTATGTGAAGTGAGAAGGGATCACACAACTAATCCAGAGAGAACAGGTTGATATTCAATGGCTGCTTTAACCATATAGCAGTAGTGTGTCTGATTTAGTATTAATCATTCATTTTCTTTCCTTTTTGGCCAAGTTAAACTTTAGACACCAGTAACTACCAATCAGCGAACTACGTCGAATTATCCAATGAGATTCACGAACGTAGTTCAATGTTGTATAGCGCTTGGTTCATTTCACTGCGTGCCCTTACAAGGTTACGTTTACGATTCGAGGAGGATAGTGTCTTTCAGTATTGTCTGGACTTAGGCTTGCTTCGAAAGGAGAGAAGTTGTTCGTGTGGTAGTGTAATGACTCTAAAAAGCTATACTAGGTCAACTGATGGTTTTGTACATCGTTGTAGAATTTGCTGGAAGCGAGTTAGTATCAGAGAGGGTAATATTTCTTAGGAACTTTTTTTGCTAGGTCGCATCTCTCCCTAACCCAGATTTGGTACATCTACAATTACTGGGTACTGAAACAGCCTGTGAGAGCCGCAGCTGCCGAGACGGAGAACAGCCTCGTCTCAACAGTTCAGTGGTACCAGCACTGCAAAGACTAGCCTCATGGAGAATGGACAGAATTACTTCGTTGTTAGGCGGGGACGACGTAGTAGTGCATGTGGATGAGACAGTGTTGGTGAAGAAGAAATATAACCGCGGTCGTCAGAGAGCGAACAATATTTGGGTCATAGGTTTATACGACGCGTCCCTCCGAAAAGGATTTGTTGAAAGAATAGCAGACATGAAGGCGACTACTCTGGTACCTATTATAAAGCGACTTGTGAAACCGGGATCAATTGTACATACCGACGAGTGGAAAGGTTACAATTCATTGTCATCCCTCGGATACATTCATCACAGAGTGAACCACTCCAGTGATTTCGTGGATCCAGTTACAGGGACTCATACAAATTCCATTGAAGGATTTTGGGGTCGACTGAAAAATAGAGTAAGGGCTATGAATAGATCTCAAAAGGATCTCATTTATAGTCATTTAGATGAATATATGTATAGAATTTGGTGCGACTTCTCTATTGACAGCCCCATACTGAATTGGGAGATGTTTCTCTCCCATGTTCGGGAGAGATACCCATTGTAGCTGTTTTATCATTTTCTTATGCATTTTTCTATAAATATACGTTTCCGCTTATCATAAACGCCTCTTTCATGTGATTGGTCCGTTCAAGGTCGTTTGCTGATTGGTTGTTAATGGTGTCGAAAGTTTAACTTTGCCTCCTTTTTTTGTCTCTCTTCTCTTTTGATCTTAGGTGATATTGACCGTAATCCTGAAGGTCAATCAATTCACTTCAAGTATATTACTGGTGCAAATTGGGAGTCTTATGGTTTAGGCATTTGTTTATGGTCAATTGGGTATAAATTGTCCTGCTTACCAAAGTCAAATGATACAAATAATCATTTTCAATTTTTCAATACTATGAAATATGAATTACAAAAACAGATTACGCATACAATGAATTCTGTAAATACTGAAAGTGTTTATGCTAGATGTTTTAGAGAAGATTCTACTCCAGATAAATGGTACTATTGGTTAAATGTACCTTCACCGACACCGAAAAGGTGAGTTGTCGTCAATTGATGATGATGATGATATGATCACGTTGACGTCTGATATGACTGAATGGATGTGTGCCAGGTTGTCTTGATATCTTCCACTTTCAATCAATGGTCATGTGTTACTCAGTCAGCCAGTCAGCCAGCGATAGAGAGGAGGACGGAGCGCGAATTGTTGAGCAGTGCACACCTCCTTTGATAACCTGCCGGATATCATGTCTATTAAGCCAAAGGAGCCTTCTGTAATCGTGCTGAGATATCGTCAGCTATCAACCCGTTGCCTCTGGCTGATGCGAATTCCAAAATGAGTGAAGTGGTCAACATGCTCCAGAAACCAACTCACTCCTGCCCACCTTTAAGTGGTGACGACTAGTGGCGTCCGTCAATGACGCCCATTATCCCCATTTCTATTCAACTTCATCATAGATGTTCTAATCGACTTAACCCTAACTCAATTCAGAGACTCAGGGATTGACTTGCTACCAGGAAATAATCTCGTTGAATTAGAATATGCAGACGATATAGTCCTTCTAGGCGAGGATGCTGACAAAATGCAGAGTCTACTGAACACCTTGAGCAACAATCTTCGTATGTCTAGCATGCGATTCGCCCCTGTAACATGTAAGGTGATGTTACAGGATTGGACTACACTGACTCCTAGATTAGAAATAGGAAGTGAAGTGGTAGAGCACGTTGACCGCTTCACTTACTTCGGAAGTATATCAGCCCCAGCGGGTTGATCTCTGACGAGATCTCAGCACGGATACAGAGGGCTAGTTTCGCATATGCCAGTTTACGCCGTCTCTGGCGTAGACGTGATATTCAGCTGGCTGTCGACCAAAGGGTGCGTATACTGCTCAGCAGTCCGCTCTATCCTCCTTTATGGCTGTGAGACCTGGCCATTGAGAGCAGAAGACATGAAAAGATTAGCTGTCTGCAATCATAGGTGTCTGCGTTCTATCTCCCGTGTGAAGTGGTATAATAAGGTGAGCAATATTGAGGTTAGGCGTCGAGTGCTAGGTAAGGAGGGGAAATCAATCGACATGGCTGTGAAATTACATCGACTGAGATGGTTAGGACATGTGCTACGTATGCCTAGTCATCACCTTCCTCGACAATGGGCAATGTTAGCTGATATAGGGTCAGGCTGGAAAAGAGCTAGCGGCGGTCAAACGAAATTAGGGCACCAGTCAACGAAATCTACAACAGTAAGTCTAAGCTACGTAGGAAGGTGTAGACTTCCTGGTTGGGGTCCTCGGGACGGTAAAAACCAATGGTTGGAAACAATTGGTGACATGGCTCAAAATCGTTTTCAGTGGCTGTTGCAGATGCATCCACTCCTTGTGACTTATGATTTCCAATGAAACTGTTTTGTTGTCCGTTATTACTACTCCTTTGTCTCACACCTCTGTTTAGTCTCTATATGATGCATTTCTTTTACTTTCTTCTCTTGCTTTGTGTGCTACAAGGAGGGAGTGTGGCGACTTGAGCTGCCGCACATATGTGCAGAGTTCTATGTTGAAAACAGACAGACAGACAGACCTTTAAGTTAAGAGTGAGTCGATGTAGTGCAGTTGTGTCCTTTAGCCTCATCATCTTACATTTGACAACCCAAGCGAAGATTACTCGCTGCTGTGTTTCCTCAGTATCTTCACCTAGGAGGGAGGACTATATCATCTGCATATTCTAACTCGGCGAGATTGTCCCCACCCTGGTAACAAGTCAATTCCTGAGTCGCTGAAGTTGGTTAGGGTTAATTCCACTAGTACATATGTGATTAAACTAAACAGGAATGGGAACAGCGGGCACTGCTAACAGACATCACTCCTTGTCATCACTTGATATCTCTCCGTAGGCAGCATAACCACCTAGGTGTAGTCTCTTTGTCTGTAAGTATGGTATGTGCTTTGCACCGTCTAAATGCTGTACTCACTCTTGCGGGTGGACCGCCTGAAGTTGTTGATAAGTTTGTGTATATGGGTAGTTGTGTGAGTGCCGGAGGAGGGGTGACGGATGAGATTTCCAACCGTATAATGAAGGCTACGGTGGCATACATCAACTTGTGCCACCTCTGGCACCGTCGCGACGTTAGCCTGGCTGTCAGAAGTCGGGTATACAATGCTTCGGTGCAGGCTGTCTTGCTCGACGCCTGTGAAACCTGGCCTCTCCGAACTGAGGATGTGTGGCGGCTCTGCGTGTTGGATCATCGCTGTCTCTGCAGGATTGCTTGCGTTCGATTGCATCACCGCATGAGTAATTCTGAAGTTCGGCGGTGTGTGCTTGAGCACAGTGGAGATCACCATTCACTGAGTGTCGTCATCTGGAAACACCGGCTCCGGTGGCTTGGGCATGTGCTGCGAATGTCATCCCAGAGGCTTCCTAACAGGTTTCTGTTCGCTAGTCAGCCCTGGGACGGGATGGAAAAGGCGGATGGGTGGTCAGTCCCTGGTAATAAATTAATCCCTGAGTCTCTGAATTTGGTTAGAGTTAATTCCACTAGTACATCTATGATAAAATTAAACAGAAATAGGGACAGTGGGCATCGTTGACGGATATCACTCCTTGTCATTGCCTCAGATGACATCTCTCCGTAGGCAGGATAACCACCACCTAGGTGTTAGTCTCTTTGTCAGTTACAGATAAGTGTGTGTGTGTGTGATAAAAGTTATAACATTTGTCCTTATTTTCGTGTCATTCACTCATTTTATTCATATTGTCTTTACTCTCAACAGTATCCATATTAACAATAATGGCGTATGGCTACTGTCATCTACCTATCCATCACAAATTTACCATCGTATTGGATTGAGTATGAATCAACACGGCAGCAGTAGTGACCACCATGATGGTAATAATAGTAACAATAATAAGGATTGTTCATTACCTGCTCCAAAAGAACATCAAATCGGTTATGCATGGCAGTCTATGCCATGCCCCAGTGTGTTCAATTATCCTTCTCTAAATATATCTACTATATATGTACCATTCACAACTGCTACTACTATTACCACTGACTCTATTCACCATCAAAGTGTTAATCTCTCCAAACTGCCAACAACACAAGCTTCAACTTCTCCATCATCCTTATTATTGTCAACACAACAATCGAGACAATCTAATTATGCACCAGTAATTTTGTATTGTTTGACAAGCAATGGCTTATTCCTTAGTCTTTCATTTGGCTCTATCATTGAATTCACTGGATATTGCGATAATAATACTGATGAAAACAACAAAAAGGAGGGGGAGAAGAGGCTATCAAGTCATCAGTTAGCGCTACATTGTAATTCATATGATGCTGAACATAACGAATTAATTATAATCGATTCATTTGAGTCTTAATGTCGCCTTACTACAGCTTAATTTGTGATATATCTGCATACATATTTGCATATGTACATATATATTGTCGATTTCTAGTCATATTTTACTAATATAACTCATTTTCATAAAGTGTCATGGAAACAGAAAGCAAGAGTCACTATGATCAGCAAACTGTATTTAAACTATTTTCAAAAAACTGAAAAATTCGCTGTTTCACATTTAACTACTTATTAAAGTAGTATAATAATATAACTAAAATTTTTAAAAGATTATTCATTTTGATTAACGCCAGTGAAGCAAAACATGACTAAATTTTCAGTATACAAGTAGAATTATCAATTTTATTTCATAGATTCTTATCAACTCTTACAGACCATCTGAAACTATTAAAATGTCTTTAAAAGAGTTCGTGAGGACTAATACTTGCCAGAGATGATATTGGCTACTGCCAGTCCTGCTATTATCCTACGTGAATTGGCAGAATTCGGAATTCATGCATGGGCTAACTGGTCATTAAGGAGTCGGGTCTCAGTGGTTTAATGGTTCATGAGGTAGCTAGTGTTTTGACCGGAGGGTAGTGGGTGAAGGACCTACAAATGAGTTGGACTTAAGTCTGTTACGTCATATGTATTTTCCTACTCAGTTTGAAACTCAGTAGCATAGGGTTTCCAGGTTTCTGTTAGCTGATTGTATGGAGCAGTTTTCAACTAATGTCACAGGTAGCTGATTGACTTTCAGTGCTAGCTGTAGTCTTCCTCTGAGAGCTTTATGTAATCTATTTCGAGGTTATTTTTATGAGTGAGACTTTATTATGCATGACCTATCTTTATTAAATGCAAAGCCGTAGTGCTTTTTTAATCGTTAGAAAATAAGTGCTGTCGTAAAATGAGCACTACTAGCAAGAAATCATCCTGAGGAATCCATGAGAAAAATTCATCCTGCTATACATGAAGAACATAAAGTTGATGTTAACGGACACAGTGTGTGTTCTTTCATATCAGTGCACTTGACTGATTAGGAACACTAGTCTGACTGGCAAAACGTAAGAGTTTGAAACAGTGGAAATAACAAAACTGCTGGGGATTTCCTTCAAGTCTTGTACTTGGACGAGTCGACGAACACATTAAGTAGGATCAAATTTCATTATGGAGAAAATTCTTATTTTGATAAAGTCTCATAGAGCGTTTTACAGTAATATTTACTGATAACCACGTTTCGAGCATAACTTAGTACTGCTCGCCATAATCATATCAAGGCACTACTCACACAACTTTGCAACTTGGTTTATATAATTCCACTATTTTTCATCCCTTGATTTGATTGGTAGTATTTACCATATTTCCGGCAAGAGTGATGAGTCATTCCTATTGCATGTGTTGGGTGTAGACTCGATAGCACTAAGTAGTACATCAAAAAACCAAAATGATGAACAGAAATTCATAGAAGACGAAGCGTTGGTGTCAAATGACTATCCTAGGAAGATCAAATATTGGCTGTATAAGGACTGCGATAATCGAACATCTCATCGAAACTGGTCATTCCATCTCAGTGAACGCCTCTTGCTTCACAGTGAATAACATGCATGTACAATTTTCTTGGAAAGGTGTGAAAAAGTTCTCTTGTGTAACTTTCCATAAATTTTGGGTAAAATCCGTACAATACAATGATCAGAGTTAAACAATTTGTGATATCCTCAAGAGGAGAATTTCAGCATCTTCGAAAACAACATTCTTCGCAGCAACACTATGAGTAGTGCTCTCCAGTTGTACATTGAATTTCAGAAGCCTTAAGGACACGATCTCTCTTCTGGTCACTTATGTGTGCATATATCAGTTCACATGTTGCTGTGGAGCCAACCAGGTACATTGGTCATTCGACGCGTACTCTGTCCAAAAGGGTTCATGAACACTATCCCACAGCATGACTACAAGAAGGTAATAGTGGCTGTTTAAGGTGTGCGATCATCGAATATCTCGTCAACACTGGTCATTTCATCTCACCGAATGCCTCCTGCTTCAAAGTGATCTACAAAGTGAATAACAACCTACCAAAGGAAATACGCTTTCGTCTCGTTTGTATTACTGAAGCCTTAGCCATTCATTCAGTTGAAGAAGCCACAGCTATGCAAACAAAAGCAAAATCACCCAACCACTTCTACTATCATGGTAACAAACGTGTCAACTTCTACTGATTTCACGTTTGTGTGCTTGTTGGTTCTCTTCTCTAACTCCTTATAACATTTGTGATTCATAGAAGGAACTCTTACATAATTTCATATTTTCCTTTACTTCTATGTGCATCCTAATCACAACCCATCCACTAAACTATTCACCTTATTACGCAACTGTATCACGCTCATTTAACTTCTTTTATGCGTTGATTAACACTAGTAACTGTGTTTTTGACAACGCATTGCCACTACCCTCTCTTGCCAACTTTCACTCACCCTAGTAACAGTTTGATTATTCATCACAATTTTGAAATATCTTGACAACAGTAACCGTAACTTATTTTTACTCTTATCGGACTAGCCTAATTTACACATACATACAAAAATAATTATGCATTATTGCGATCGCACAGCTAAGAAAATGAATTCGCCGCCGAGAAGAGACACTTCACTGAACTACGTGTTTTGTTTCTATTAGCGTCTGGATGGGGATTATTCATGAAAATCAAAAAAAGGTCAAAAGCAAAGCAAAAATAATGGTGAAACTAATAATGACAACAAAAATAAGAAAGAATATAAGCCTCTAAAGTTTTACCATATAAGGAGGATTCCTAGTGCAGCAGGGATTAGGGTGGCATTCAAACCTACAAACTCACTCAGGTAGTACAAGCTGTGTAGGTTAAAGGACCCGGTGAACCCATGATTTAATTTACAAAAATACCTTCCAATGACTTTGACTAAGGTCAACTACATAGGTGAAACTAGTAGATAGGAGGCGGTCAAATTGTCAGAAAATAAGAATTTAGTTAAGGTTAGATTGGTTGACCGCGAGAAGATAAGTAATTTAGAAAAAAGCTCAGCAATCGCACTGCATGCATTAACACACAACCGCAACATATAGTGGGACAGAGTTGAATTACTGAATCTTTGTTCATCGAATCTACACCTAATGCATGGAATAGAAATGACTTATCACCAATACCAAGCATATGGAGAGTTGTATGAGTAGTGCCTTGAGATGATTAAGAGCAGTGATAAATTGTGCTCGAAACGTTGTCATCAGCAAATATTACTGTGTGACACTTAAAATAAATTTTCCCCATGGTGAAATAGTGCTCTACCACAGTGCCCAAGTTCTATTCTGATATCTAGAATCAAATTTATCAACTAATAATGAATAAGTTACATTCCAAGTCAATAAAGCGATCAATACTGATGAACACTAAAAAAGATGAGTCATAAAGTGAGAGTGAAGGACAATTATATTGTGGCGGAGCTGGCTGCTTACAAGCCAAAATTGTAGACAGCGGTTTACGTCAATGTTACGTCCTGAATCGGGATCATGAGAAAAACAATATCAAAGCTTACTTGGCCTTGAAGGACTCATCAACCAATCACAGCAGACTTGACGTGTGCAAATGTGATTCGCAGATATATGACTTAATTTTCTGAGAAACGGTCACAAGCAGTACAGAATAACCTTCAGCAAAAAGCAACTAATCAGAAGACATTGCCTCTCCTCTGACGATAATGTACATAAAAATCTAAAGATATCTCTTGATTTTCTCAACAAACGATCTGTTGCCTGGTCTTTGTATTCTGTCGTTACAATATTATTCATGGAGAATTCAAATAAGTTCTCTTTATACTAAACTTTACACTGAATGTCTTGTTTAGAAAGACAGTGAGTACTTCTCAGTTAAACCGTCCAGCACACAGATCAAAACGACGTCAAAAGTATTAATAATCTGATCTGCGTTGGTGATTCAGTAGTGGAATACTTGCCAACAACGCATGTCTTGTTTAGAAAGACAGTGAGTACTTCTCAGTTAAACCGTCCGGCACACAGATCAAAACGACGTCAAAAGTATTAATAATCTGATCTGCGTTGGTGATTCAGTAGTGGAATACTTGCCAACAACGCATGTCTTGTTTAGAAAGACAGTGAGTACTTCTCAGTTAAACCGTCCAGCTCATAGATCACAACGACATCAAAAGTATTAATAATCTAATCTGTTTTGGTGATTCAGTATTATAATACTTGCCAACCACGCATGTGGTCCAGGGTTCGATCCCAGGTCGCTTTGTTTGGTATTAAATCTGGTCAAGAGGGATTGTTGAGGCCATGTAAGGTTGGCAACCCTACCCCAGAAAAATAAAACCGCTGCTACCGAAAGTTCAGGGCTCAAACTTGAAGCCCTATGTTCCACTAGGATAGGTGAACATTCAGATGAATGGAAGAAGAATGACGGAATTTTTTAATAAATGATTTTTATATTATCATCAGAGCCAAATGAGAAATAAATAGACAAAGAAAATACAACTGTTTTTTTCGAAATGATGCTTTCGCTACTTATATTCTCAATAACAGTAGTATATATGTATATAATGAAGCAATAAAAAATGAGAGAGAGATATTTGACATGATTAAATTAAATTTTCTCTTCATGTAATTCAACACGTTGTCCAATACCGAAGTGACAATGACATGAACCTTCATTAATGAAACTGACAGCACCGGTAGAATTAGGAACTTGATAAAAGCCATGCTTTGAATTCAACACTTTGCTCAGATCGTTTATCACCACAACAGATACAATGGAACCGTCTTTTTTATCACGTAATTTAACAGAGATTGTACCTTCGAAGACTGTTTCCACTTGAAATTTCCCATTGTACTCGTCTTCAGTTATGACTAGTTCAGCACGTGTACGATATCCTGGGGGGACAACTATCTGTAAAGGAATAAAGAAATGTACAAATAAGGTGTGAATTTCTTCCAAAAGAATTTTGGGACGATAATCCATGCGATTAGTTAAAACACACGTGGAGTAACGCGTAAAATCCAAAAACTCAGCAGTTAAGTGACAAGGGCCAGGCAGCAGACCGTTTTTTTAGGAAATCAACAGATATTTATAGATTTTCATGTAGATTATTGTAAGCAAA